TTTCATGATGAGTCGCAATATATTCTTTAATTTCATTCATTGGAGTATGAGATGGTTTATTCTTTTACTGCACGAAGAGCCTACTATGAACCAGGCACTGTTCTAAGGCCCTAGAAATTGTTTAGAAGGGAGTCTCTTCTTTTGAAGATCTTTCTTATTGTGAGAGAATAGATAAGGACCAAACAAATGTCATTACTGCACATACTGATAAATGATATGAGGCAAATGCAAAGAAAGTAGGGAGAGGCTATTTTAGATTGATTTAAGTTTTCCCATCAAGTCACCTTTGAAAATGTAGAAAACGATCATCAGTTAAAGCACATTTCTTGTCCTCTATGAGCAGCAAAGGACTCGCTATAATAACTGCACTTTGCCTCTCCAAGCAAAAGATGTAAAATAGAAAGCAAAGTGGAGGTTAGATAATTAGAGACCCCTCAGAGTTTAACTGAGTTACTGCCTAAATCTCTAGGGGGCTAGTTAAGAACAGCCCACTTAGTTAATCTACCTCTAAATACTCCAGAGAAAACACTGTCAACCTCCCACCTTGCTGCTTAGACAATGAGAACACTTCTCTGGTGTGTGGATGTTATTTCACTAACAATGAAATGTTCCCCTAGTCACTCACCTTTCAATACTCATTTCCCCAAGTGAGCAAATTTCTTCTATGGAGACAAAAGTGTCCCTGTGACAATCTCCATGACTCTCTCAACCTTTCTATGTTGACATCAATACAATAAGAAAATAAATGTCATTTAGTAAACATTTTAACTGGGGACATTTTAATCAATCTGAGAGCGTTTTTAAAAATATCTATAGCATAGAATAAATTTTTGAAGCATATTAGTCGTCTCTGAGAATGTTTAAAATCTAATTTTATAGAGTTGCATCTGAAATAATTTACCTTATTGAAACCATAGTAATCATGAAGCCCTTTTCAGCCATTTTCTGCCTCTGCCAAATACATCTCACCGATGAGTTCTTCCTCATCATTATTCAACAGCTCTTTACTTTAATAAAAACAGCTCTCTGCTTCCTAAATAGCTACATGCAAAAATGACTTCATTTTTTCCAAATGTAGTAAATATTATAATTACTATGGTAAATGCAACTAATTGAAAACAGTGTTTTTCAGACTTTATTACATAGCATTATTTCAGGATTTCATTCCCCACCCCAGGTTTAAACATAATTATTTGTAAGTCTTTGCCCATAGGCCAAATAAAATAAAAGTGAAAATTAAGAATGTAGCTTCATAATTTTCCTGAAGCCAAAGGGCATTTTTGAGTGCTTTTCTGATGGACAAAGGAGTATGCATGTTTACATACAAATGCACATCATACACTTGGTGCTGGAAGAGATCATAGGCGCTGGAAAGGGGAAGCAAGGCCCTTAATTTGGTGTAGACATACACCTGTCTTCATGACACCAACACAAACAGTTGAAAAATTATAAAAAGTCAATGTTTTTTCCAGTTTATGTATTGCTATGAAATGTATGTTTCAGCATTTCTATTGTTTTGTTGTAGTTCTCTAATGTTTTCATTGTTGTGCTTAAATGAAACCAATAAAGCTATCAGGGTATTTTGTTACATTCTAAACAGAGCATCCAGGCAGTATATGCATTCTTTCTACTCCCTGACATACATCTCCCCAGTCCAAGGACAACTGGATTGTTTTCCATTTAAGACAGCAAAACTGGGGCCAGGCCTGGTTGTGTGCACCTGTAATCCCAGCTACTTAAGAGTCAGAGATCAGGAGGATTGTGATCCAGGTCTGCTCCAGGCAAGAAGTATGAGGTCCTATCCTAAAAATAAGTAAGCAAAAAAGAGCTGGAGGCGTGGCTCAAATGACAGAGTACCTGCCTAGCAAACAGGGGGTCTCAGTATTCCCAAAACTTTTCCAAAGGAAAAATTATTTCAGGGTCCTAGTTATCAGTCAAAAATGCATCTTTATATGTAGTAATCATATTTCAATAGTATAACCTCTGCCACAAATATCTTTCATACAAAAACCCACAAACTTTCATATTTCAGTTTTAATAAATTCACATTTCAAATTAATGTAAATAAAAATAACAAATTATTAATAATTATATTTAAATAATATTAAATAAGAATTATAAAAGTGGGCACTGTACATGAATATTTGACAAACATATTACTGAAATCAAATACAAAAAAGTAATTTCTCACTGGTACTCACACATAATTTACATAATTAAATGTTTAATATGGAATGTTAATCATATAAGAAAATAATCTTCCTAGCAAAAATAAAGTAGAATAGCATAATTTAAAATACTCTATTTGTAACACGTGATGTAAAGTTTGTATTAAAATCTATAAATTACTCTATACAGAAAGATAAACCAAGAAAGACTCCATTCTAAGACACAGCAAATCTGTTATTTCTGAGAAGTCTCTTCTTTCACTCAAGTGCATGCCCGTTAACTAGAAGTTTCATTTCTTTGTACATTTGGTATAGTTCCAGGCTCTTTTTCTTCAATTTATATTTGCATCCTTAAGAAAAAGGGGAGAAAAAGAACAAAAATGTTAGCGACCTGGTTTTTAATACCAAAAAGTTACTATTTTAATAACTTTATTATATTTAATAACTATATTTCAATAATATTTCATATTATCTTGCTTGAAAATTTTGTGGGCTCTTAATTTACCATCCAATCTTAAAAATTCATGTCTGTGGAAACAGAGGGGGACCTTTCAGAGACATAAAATTATGATTTCTCTATTAAAGTTTTATGATAGCTAAATATACCACAAAAGTGAACTTGATATCATCGAAATAACTCAAAAGGGTTTCTAAAATTTATTAATCTGTAATATTTTGACTATAAGTCATGTTAAATAAATGACCAAAAGTATACTATCAGAAAACTATAGAAGAAATCACCAAATCTCTAAACTGTACAGCATGAAAGAGTTATATTTATCACCTGTCTTCTATAGCTCTCATCCCAGGAGAATATAGCTTTGTATATGTTTTGTTTATTTATTTTTTTTATCTTTGGGGAGTGGTGCCAGGAATTGAACCGAGGTACACATTCATGACACTAAGTGCTCTACCACCAAGCTGCATTCCCATCCCCAAATTTTCAATTACAAGACAGTGTTTGGGGGGATCTTTTCCAGTTATTATGTTGATTTAAGGAATTTAAATATATTTGATCATCTACTTAAAATGTACTAATAACCACAAAAGATAAATATGGCTTGATTTAGGTTATTTCAATTGCCAAATGAATTTTCTTGATTTCTTCATGTTGCACGGTACTCAAAAGCCTTGAGATGATTTGAAAACAACTGGTTCAGGTATCGTGTCCTGCCACTGAACACTGAAATGATGTAGCTCATTTTCTTAGTCTAACAAGGGGGAAATTTTAATTTAGTAGTTGTAAGTATTCAGAATTCACAGTACTAAGAATTACTAATTGATAATTGTAGCTTTTATAATAAGAAAAATGGCAACAAATAAAGAGCCAAGTTACCACACAGAATCATAGTTTGAACATTTTAAATGATAACATTTAATTATTGTGTTTAGCATTACTTTAGCTTCACTGCATTAAGCATTCAAAAGAATTCATTAGCGCAATCTTTACAACACATACTAACTTATTCAGAAAGTGAGGTCAGGATTGTCTCAGGAATTGCCACAACAAACCAGCAAGGTGGAGTAAGCAAATCCCTGTGCAATTATTTAGGGTAAACTGAGTTACGCTGGCCAATACAAGGTGTTCATGGATCTTTCTAGACTATGGGTACTGCATGACTTCCTCTCCCCAGTTTTCTTAAAGGCCTTGTCCGTGGTACTGAAATTCTGACCAAAAGATGTTGCCGTTTTACCACACTGGGAAAGAACTGCTGACCAGAAAAAAAATATTTACAAGGAAATTAGTATCGTTCAGTGTTTTGTATAGATTCCACATTTGTACATAAATGTTACAGTTCATACTAAATTTTTTGCAACTGAACAATTTTTTTCCTCTTGGGTTCTAGGATAATCAAGTCAGACTGAGAATTTTGACTTATACTTTACTTTGTCATGTACTAGGCTAGAGCAGATGAAGAGTACAAGTTCATTACTTTTTCAATTGTTTTCTTTTTCTTCTACTTTTCCAATATTTTATACTCCTTCTTACTTATACTGTATACATCAAAATTTGAATAGACTTTTATTTTTATTCTATCTCTTAAAAAGTTTGGAAAAGATAGACCTAGAAGTAGTTTTATTCATCTAGTGTTTTTCTGCATCATGGTTCTGCACAACAACAAAATAAGACCAAAAGTCTGTTGAACAACTTTTTAAAATCCCTCAGGGCTGGTAAAGCTGCCAAAAAGCTATTTACCTCACTTGGTGTAGTCACTATTGAGGACATTTTAAAGTAATTCAATGAAGCAGTCAGCACATTTAGAGCAAATGTGAATGTAGAATGAAAACTCCACAGATTAAGTTCTGGAGATATTGCTGAGACCAGATTCCTGACTTCTTACATTATTCAAAATGTTCTTTTTTGGCAATATTGGTGTTTGAACTCAGGGCTTCTCACTTATGAGACAGGTGCTCTACCATTTTGCTCTGGTTATTTTTGAGATAGAGTCTCACTTGACTGTGATCCTCCTATTTATGCTTCCTGCAAAGCTAGGATGACAGGCATACACCACCACACCCAGATTTTTCTGTTGAGATAGGGTGTCACAAACTTTTTGCCCTGGCTGGCCTTGAACTGTGATCCTCTCGATTTCTGCCTCATGAGTAATGAGGACTGTAGGTGTGAGTTACCAGCTCCTGGATGAAAATTTTCTTAAGACAGACTACAGTGGTGCAGCATAGCACTTGCCTAGTATGTGAAGGTCATGAGTTCAATCCCCAGCACCACCAAAAATAGGAAAAACAAAAGAAGTGAAAGGAAAAAGAAAAGAAAGTCAATTTATTAAACAAGGGAAGAAAAATAAATAAGTACATACTCACAGGGTAGGCTCTCTAGGTCTGTGAGCACAGTGGACTCACTGCCAATCTTGTTAGCAATCTAGCACATCTTTTATAATCTAGGGAAAACAAAGGTAAATTATGTATGCAGTTAAAATAAATGTAGAAGAAATAATGTTAATTACTGTTAGTAATTCATATAACTATATTTTAATAAGCACCTAACATATTAAGTGCTTAACATTGATTTTCTCATTAATTCCCCTAATAACACAGCTAGGAAGATGTGATTGTTAACTCCACTTTAGAGACCAGAAAACAGCCTCAAAACATCACTTCTTTCATAGCTACAGTTTGGCCCCAAAGTCTGTATTTTCTCCTCCACACTGGGCTATCATTTAGTGATTTTGCCTGAAACCCAATATGCTTTGTTTTCTCTAGCTGTAATGTTTTTTAAAACATTACAATAAATCTGACTTGACATGCTGAATAAAATATTCCTCAAGATGAACAATAGAGTTAATAAGAAACAAAATATTTAAAATTCATTTTCTTTAAAAGGAAAGTTTAGGCTTAGAAAAGAATTTAAAAACAGCCAACCAAGTTACCACACTTAATCATACTTTGGGCATTTTAAATGATAGCACTTCAGTGTTCTGTTTAGAATTACTATGAACTTCAGCAACTTAAGTATCCAAAAAATGTCAGTAGAGCAATCCTTATAATATATGCTGTCATTATTCAGAAAAACCTGCACCCACTGTACAAATGACATGATATAAAAATATTTACTTTAAAAATAACTTAGGAGGAAATTTTGAATTACACTTCATAGGCATCTTATTTTATTTTTCACTTATATGAGAAAGAGCACTTTATTTATGCCAAGGAATTTGAATAATGATAAAAGGTTTCAGTCCTGACAAACATTTTGGTCTTTAAGGAAACCTAGCTCTTTTCAGATTTGGATATATTCCCAAGTAGAACATGGTCTCGTTCCTTTTGGTTTCAGCAGCACACACAACCCTTAAGTACTGTCGGTGTTATAAACAGCGTCTCATGCAATGTTTAGTCTACTATGTCCTGCCCAAAGACAGTGGAAGCTTAAAATTACATGCATTTATTATCAGATAAGGATTTTTCTAAAATCTGCCTGAGTGACTTACAAGCTGGCGTTGAGCAATCCCTGGTATTGTGGTAGAGTCGATGGAAATGTTTGCTACATTCAGCTGAAAATGTGACTGGCCCTAGAGGAAAGGAAAAGAATGCTTATTATAAACATAGGCGTGTTTTCCAAACAAGTTGCTAGCACTTCATGGATGGAGATAATATAACTGTAGTTTACATCCTTCCTGCCCTTAAAAGAACTTGCCTGAGAGTTCTTCCCCTCACCCAGATTCGGTGAGAGGCAGCAAGTTGTGATCTGTGAGAAATGACCTAAATTCCTTCGGCATTCTCAACATCTCACATCATGGAACCTTCACTTCCAGAAGAGCGCTTTAGAATAATTGGAAGGGACACACTCCAGAGAGGAGAAAAAAACTTCAGACATAAGGATAAAAAAGATCCTTGGTCTCTGCTTTCCCTTCCCCCATTTTTATTTGATAGGAAGTAATGCTGGTATGCAAAGACATTTGTCCCTCTTCTTAAAGTGATGCATGTCTCAGTGCCAAGGACTATTGTAAAGTGAGCAAGACCTTGACACTTCCCTTCTCTCTCCCAGTAAGTCCAAGTAGACTCAGTCAAAACTTTCCTCCATCCGTCTGGAGTCTGCTTTGTATGGAAATAGGAGAAGTAGAGCCTATGGTCAGGCACTCACGCTCAGATAACGGCCTTACACTTCCCCCTGCTGCAGGCATCGCCACTTGATCCTCATGACTGTCACTGATTAACAAATATGGCCCTCAGATTTGATTAAGTAGTAAAGCCATATGGGAGAAATCTATCTTTCCCATAGTATAGGCCTGAGATGCAAAACAATAAAGGTAGCCAAGATTATTAAGAACAGAGAAACAAGACAACAATAAATATAGGTGGGGGGTTAGACTATTTATAATGATTTGGTGATTTTCTAGGGTAGGATGATTTGCACATGATTGGGGCATAGGAAGATTTGAAAATGATTCACAGCGTTGATATGAGAACAAGACAGTATCACGAGAGTATCTGGCCTGTGCAGAAGATGTGTCCTATGAAAGTCTGTCTCTTCACTGCTCAGGTAACTTCTGTTGTCCCCAGTGGCTGGGAACACAGTCTAAATTCCTCATTTAGATTGTTTATAATAGCTGGGCACTGGTGACTTTTGCCTGGGAGGCTGAGATTGGGAGGATCTCGGTTCCAGATCAGCCCAGGCAAAAATGTTTGCAAAACCCCATCTCAGTTGAAAAAAAAGCTGGGCATGGTGGCATAAGCCTGACATCCCAGTGAGAGCCTAAAATAGAAGGACCTCAGGCCAGGCTGGTCTGGGGAAAAAAACGAGACCATATCTGTAAAATAACCAGAGCAAAAAAGGACTGGAGGCATGGCTTAAGTGGTAAAGTAGCTGCTTACTCCTGTGTTCAAATCCCAGTACCGCCAAAAAGAAAAATGATTTCTCAAAATAGGATTCCAACCTACCTTTCCAACCATAATGCATCCTTTCCCAAATTCACCACAGTGCATCCACAGCATCTGCCTGTCCTTTCTCAAACCTACCCTGAGCCTTCATGCCAGCTCAGTAGAGTCCTTCTCACCAAATGCTTCCCTCATCCTGGGAAACCTCATTCACCCCGAAAGCCCAACTTGATTATCATGTGCCCCGCAACCCTTCCCTGGCAGCTCTTGACCAAATCACTCCCTGCATAGCCCTAAAACTTTATTTATACTTCGGTGACTTAGAAAGATCTGGCTTACATTACAACTCATACAAGGCAGTAGCACTGACTGATTCCCCAGCTGGACGGTCAGCCTCTTCTAGACATTTCTTCTAGACATTTGTTTCCATGTCCCAGTGCCTTTAGTATTTTGCATGCAAGCTTTTTATTTCACAGAATCACGAAAATATCGTACACTTACCTGTAAAATGCTTGATGAATTTGTCTTTTAAGTTCAAATCTCTCGGGAATATTTCTGAAAAGCAAAACAAAGATTTTATATTTTTTAAGATGCATTTCTGCTATTGAAATGTATCCTTAATGTGCTATAGTTATAAGTGGCTGATCTCAGGCCTGTGTCCAGCCTAACCATTTCCTGAGATTCTGTAGCTCCAGGAGAGCTCACTACTTGCTGTCTGGCTCTACCAGGGCACTATAGACCTCTCAGCAGTGCACAGTCACAATGCAGTGTCTGACCTCCTGGCTGCCCCCACACCTGTGCCCCCATGTTCTCCAGCCTCACTAAACAGCATTAGTCTTTACTGCTTGCTTAGACTCCAAATAAAGAAGCTATGCTTGGGTTGAAGGAACAGCTGCCTAGTAAGTGTGAGTCCCTGAGTTCAAACCCCAGTACTGCCAAAAAAATAAAAATATGAAACTATGCCTGTATTCCCCTTTTCCTTACCACTCCATCCAATCTAGGAAATAGTTTTGCATATTTCATTTCCCAACATTTGTCCCAGACCATGCACTTTTGTCTCCTTCCGCTCACCCTGGCTGCTCCAAGCTGTCATACTTCTGTGACTGCACTTTGGCAGCAGCCTCCTAACCAGTCTTCTCCTCCTTATAATCCTTTTTCCCCCAAGGCAGCCAGAGCAAATGAATCGCAATGTACTTCAGGTCATGAGACTCTCCCACTTAAAAGGCTTTGAGCTTAAAATAAAATTTAAAATTAGGCTACCTCAACTGGTCTTCACTTTATAGAAAACAATCAGGAGGTTATGCAACTTATAGAGAATATGAGAAAACTTAAACTTCAATAAAATTCTTGAGCTTCAAGGTTTGCTGGCAGTTGTGCATTTAAACCTACAATGTTTTCATTACAGATTGACTCCTGCATGTGTCAAACACAATATGAAAACAGAAGAGCCATCAGCATTTGTCACCTTTCTGAGCCACCACATACACGAGTGTAACTTCGTGGAGACCAAGCAGTGGTGACAAAGTTTTTTGTTCTGTTTTTTTCAGTAGGACTGGGATTTTGAACTCAGGGCTTCATGTTTACAAAGCAGGTGCTCTAACACTTGAGCCACATCTCCAGTCCATTTTGCTCTGGTTATTTTGGAGATAAGGTCCCATTAACTATTCATCTGGCTGACCTCCAACCATGATCCTCCCAATCTCAGCCTCCCAAGTAGCTAGGATTACAGGTGTGAACCATGGGTGCCCAACCCTTGTAGGAGTTTTAAGAGTCCTTTACATTCTGGCTGCCAAGTAGAGGTATGAGGAACCCTCCCTGGAATGGCAGCTTCTCAGGGTGACTGAAGAAGAGGACTGGTGGGGGGAGGGGAATGAAGTGAAAGTAACTTAAGAAGCCAGGGAGGAATGACCAGCAGCAAAGCTTCCCTGAGGCCAAGTAAGACAAAGACTGCCCACCGTCAGGGGGCAACATCCAGGCCAGGAAAAGGGCAGGCGTAGAAGCATGGGGGTGCGAGAGGACAGGTGAAGCTGGTGAAGGAGATTGATTTTGTCCCGTGGGTTGTATTAATCATGACTTTCTTTTCTCTATCTTCTGATGCTCTGACATCTTGGGGCCTGCTGGCCCTGGAAGAACTGCCTCTCTCAGTATCAGCCAGTCTCTAAGAAGCAAGGCTCACCTGCAAATTTGCCTTTCACATGCCAACCTACCAAGCCAACCTCTCCCCCACTGCCTCTGCCAGGCTCTCAGACTCCGGGCCACTGTCCCCTGTCCGAGAGCCAGTTATGAGACAACTAGGGGGGGCCCTAAGGTCCACAGTTCACTGAAATTATTCAAACCAGCCCGTCCTATGGCTGCTCACCCTGCCTGTTGGAAACCCAATAAAGCTCAGGCCCACACTTTCCTCCATTCCCTGTGACTCCCCATGTGCCACTTCATGCTGTGTCATGCCTCCTGTTTCTAGAGACTCATGAAGAGAAACTTCTTCCACCATGACAACCACTGCCTCATCTCTGTGTCCCATCATACCTGAATAAAACAAATCTCATCTAACAGAGATGGTGATAGATACCGGGAGGAATGGCAACATAGTTGTATTTGTTTTACATTGTCTGAGAGCTATATAAACATGGCTATGAGAAATCTTATCGGTCCTTATGATCCTCTATAAAGATTTTAAATGAGCTCTTGTGAAATATGTTGCTTGCCAGGTGAGTGGACTTCTGTAATCTGCAAGAGTTTTCCAGTATATTTCAACATACTTTACTGTGACCATCCTTGAAATGCGTGATTTAATCCTACCTGTGCTATGGTTTGGATGCGTGTCCCCCACAGGCCTTGTGTTAAAGGCTTCGTTCTGGAAGCCCGTGGGGATACTAAGAGGTGGTAGAACCTTTAGGAGATAGTGCCTAGTGGGAGGTCTTCCCGTCACCGGGGGCATGCCCTTAAAGGGGATAGGGAGAGACAGACCCTCTTTCTCCTGTTTTGCATCCTATGCATGAGGTGAAGAGTTTGCTCCCACCCTGCTGGATGTGCTGCTTGTCACGGCTAGGCTGATCAGTGGACTGAAACCTCCACAGCTGTGGGCCAAAATAAACCTCTTTATAAACTGATTATCTCAGGCACTTATATTAATAAAGAGTTAACTAATACGGTCTGATTGCCATATTTTAAAATTTTTACCAGAGTTATTTAAAATACACAATTAGATAGGAAAATAGAATAAGCAACCACAGGAAATATTTTTTCCTAAGGATGGAATATATGTGGGTTTAGATGATTGGATAGATAAATCACAAACACTAATAATACAGTAATAAAACTGAATCAAAAAGTATTTGTCAACATGTAGGCTAGCTCATTACTGCTCATTGTCCACGTAACCTAGTCCAGTGTTCGGTTTCTTTTCTTTCTTCTATACTACTTTTTTTGCCATTCTATCTATGAAGATTTTTTTTCAAGGACTCCCTACTTCACCACTTCATCATAAATAAAGTAATAATGAGTAATTATCTGATGTAGCAACTAATTTCTATTCTTCAGGTTTAAAATTCAAACCATAACCTTTGCCCAATTTAAACAAGACTTTGTTTTCAAACCTGGGAAGCAACACAGGAGACAGCCATAAGAAAGAGTTACACTAATGGGTAATATTCCAAACCCAACAAGCAAGTTGTGTTTTCTTAGCAACAGGCATATGTTCTAGAAACAGAAAATCTCCTATAAATAAATATAACCAGGCTTTGAAGCAACCACGATGACATTCATCTCTTCAGATTCACCATGGCTTGGATGCCAAAGCAGGACTTGGAGAGGGTGAGAAGCCGTCAGCCTGAGTTTCCTCAAGACGGGAGCCCTGTGTTCCCACACCTCCTGATGGGCTCAGCTCAGGTGTACAGGAGACTCCATGGCTCAGCTCCATGACTCAGAGATGCCCCCTTTGGGGGGTTATGGGTCCTTAGCTGCAGCAAGCCTAGAACGCATGTTTTTTCTTTTTTCATCTCTCTCTCTCTCTCTCTTTCTCTCTCTCTCTCTCTCTCTCTCTCTCTCGCTTCTCTGTTTTTCTTTTTAGACAAGGTCTCCATAGGTAACACAGCCTGGCCCTGCAATCCTCTTGCCTCAGCCTCCAGAGTACAGGGGTCACAAGTATGCACCACCATACCCCACGGAACCCCCATTTTCTCTCTGTTGGATAACTATATTCTGAAAATGATCAAGAGCCAGTTTGATATTACTGATAAATGATTTTACCAAACCATCACCTGGAAATGACCATCTTTCAGGTTTAAATTTTTATTGTTTTTGCTTTCTTCAAAAACACAAGTAACTACTACTTCATAAAGTTGACAATACGTTTTCTTTAAGCTACCTGACATGTTTTTGTCATATGTCCAAGGAGAAAACAGTCTACCACAAGCAAAGTAAACATGCAGAGCAATTAAAGCGAACAGGAATTATGGGTACTAAGAATTCAAGCAAAGATGAATCTCATATATATTAAATTTAAAACATATTAATAGAAGTACAAAATGCTTACAATGGGTGCACTCTTCAAGAAGAAGATTTAAATTTTAGATAAGTCACTTGCCAAACTTACTTTTAGGTATTTACTTTTTTTTTGGTTGTTGGTGGTACAGGGCATCTGACCCAGGGCCTGGTGCATTCTGGGCAAACATTCTGCCACTGAGTTGCATCCCCAGCCATGATATTTACTTTCTCACTAAATGACAGTGTGCCTTTCACCTAGCAGCTGGTATGTCACTGGCCTATGGTGACTTCCTTGCAACCGCCTTGCCCCCCTCCTCCATGGCCTCCTGTTCACCTTTCCTCCTCCTCCTTCACACCAGTTCCAGTTGGGTCTTGTCTGTCCCATGTCTCCTATCTGTGGAGAGAGGGTGGCCAGTCTACAGGGGCTGAAATGATGCTTTCCCTGTGGGTCCCTACAAAACTTAGTAATATATTATTTGAATAAATGTCAAATTAAAAAAAAATTCTCAGATAATACTGGTTTCCAAATTCCCTTCTGCAAAGACTGCCTAGTGTGTGTATAGTGACTTGCTGGTCATGTTTCTGAAGCCATAGGGCAAGGAAGTTTATTTCACAGACTATCTTTCAAAACACACTGGAGTACATTGATATGGGGAGGGGTGTGTTCAGGGATGGGTATGCTACCGAACTAGAAGCACTGTTGGAATTGGGGAGAGTGGTCAGCAGTTGTCTGTGTCTGGAGGAAACTTTCCAGAAGATTCTGATATGCCAACTTTCTCTTCCCCATGTTCCCTAATTTAAAATCAGATAGTTCAAAAAGTTCAAGGTGCATGAGAATTCTCAAAGATCAGTTGGAATGCAGACCCAGGAGCTGCAATGGAGTCAAGTCCAAGTATTAGATATAAAGCTTGCATTTGGTCCCATTTCTAGAGCCTCACTGCTCTAGAAAATACTAAGAACAGCAACCACTGTATTGTATAAACATAACCAAATGCTAAGAAATTACTTTATACTTCTTTGTGCTCATAATGATACAAATTAAATGGTACAAGGTAGAAAGTCTCTTTTGT